CATATATTTGTGAGCCGATCAATGGCATGGTCTATCGAAAGTAGTTCCAGGTGCTTCGATCTGGCCATCAAACATATTACTCAGAATCACCTGGAAATGGCACCAGTTGCCGTTCCTTAGCCAGCATTTATGTGACAAAGGTCTCAAGGTCACACTGGGTGGTTCAGTTGTCATGGTAAATGGCCACTTCTATCAAGTCCTTTTTCTCTACCCATGCCCGCAGGTAGGGTGCCGCAGCGTCATTCACCAGGGTAAGGCCTAACCAGTCTTTTTAGAAGTAGTGCCCGCTCTCAGCATCCGGCCAGAGAACTGGAGAACTGGTTCATTGACTGGGTAAAATCCACTTTGGCGCAGCATGTCTAATGTCTACTTGCCTCTTGTATCCGTGGATTCGTGAAACCACTCGATAACTTTGGCATTGGCATCCACGCCGACCACGATTGGAGTGTGCCTCGAGATATTGCCCAATGTACTTTCTCTAGGTGGTCGGATATTGGCTCTTATGCCCTCTCTAGGGGACGTTTACGCCGAGATTGCCACGAATTGAATTGAATTTGCCTTATTTTACGTGGCGAGACTCGGGCCATCGGGCCCGCTCTTCCGTCTGACCACACAAATTTCGCTACGCTCCTTTCACCAACTAGGAGAGAAAGGAGGTATTTCTTGGGCGAGAAACAGGCGATTTGAATTTAGCTCAGAGGCGTCATTTAGGCTTGAGGATCTTTTACATGCAACTAAATCTACGAACATGGGACAGCCGGCTTTACTTCCCCTCCGGAGGAAGGCGTACGAAGGATTTTTTCGTGCTTCTCCCTTTCTACCCTTTGCAAACTGCGGTGTCTCTGTTCAGGAGGTGTGGACTCGATGATAGTGAGAACTTTCTATATGCCATTAACTGAGCCTAAAAATGTGTAAGGTTCGAATATAAACACCGCGTCTGGCCGAGCCCGGGCCAGCTTCAAGCTTTTCCTGGCCAGTCATCGTTGCCTTCCACTCCTTGCATTCATTTGTAGCAGGTAGGGCTTTGTAGTCAATTTAAATTGTTTTAATTTCATTAGCTCTACTGTAACTAGACGTGAGCACTGAAAGCAGAATGGTTAGTGTTTTTCCAGTTTGTCTAGTACAGTATATACACTTTTTGGGTGCATCCCTCGTGGGTCTCGGTGCACTAGCCATACACTTTTCTTGCCAGACATTCTTTGTGACAGATTCGCAATCACATCGCTACTGCGTAAGTGTCGCATTTATATGGTGTCGCCATAAATTCGATCTGGAGTGATGAAATACTACCACAACCTCCGGAACTGTTTAGCTCCAGAATCCCTTCCGTTTATCAGAGTATATAGAAATGGAGGTTGGTATATATAAGAGCGGTAAACTCATGACACCGTGTGACCGATCTCTATGAAAGTTGTCACATCTACTAGGTTTTTCACCCAGAAGGTTTATGTGCTGTTATTTTGTTGTAACTTTACTATATGGTGCTGCAGAACAAAATAGCGCTTCATTTTAATTCCATTTCCTTTTAAACTACGCATTACCTGGGCTTCATTATTGCTGAGCGTTGCCGTGAGACGCAGGAGAGACCGAGAAGGTCTGCAGACATGGAGAGACGAAGAACGAAGAACAGGGACAGAGAGAGGCGGGGGGAGGAAAGAAGAGATAGAGGGGGATGAATGGCAGAACATCTGCCGGGTGCCGCTTGAACATGAACTTTGTTTATATTTTAATCATGAACTTTTTAATTGCCAAAAGCCATTCTGTTTCGTCTTGTCTTTTTAGTATACCTGGCACAATTTTTGGAGCAGATATTACATTGTTTTTCTCTTCTATATTCGTAGAACTTTTGAAAACCATGCTATTGTAGCGTCACGGCTTGCAGCATCTGAGCGCTTCACCAAGGGCAAGATAGAGAGGGTTGAGGGTTCTAAAAATAACCGCCCGAAGAAAAGGCTGGAATTTCCAGAAGACACGGGGCAGCGTGCAAAGACAACGCCAGAGATGTTTCTATCCAGAGCGGGGGCGGGAAATGACGTGGGAGGTCATGTGACTCGCGCCTATATAACGTCGCGTCGCGATGGCGCGGGTTGGTAACAACTCTGGATTCCTCGTGGCGAGTCTACGAAACTTCGTCCGCCGAGGCTGGCGCGGAGTGCCGATGGCACATGGTGGTTCGATGTGTTCGGACCAGGCGTCGTGTTCTGCGAACATGTGTCAGGCAGATTAACGATCTGCCGGGGCACACCAGATGCCAATTTGCGAGGCGGCCCAGCAGAACTGTCGCAGGCGTCAGCGCAAGGCGCATGTAGGGAGAGGGGTGCTGCAGTGGTGGCTCTGACAAACCGCCTTAAGAGTGGGGTTCTGTATATGTGTACATCTATGTAAATAAACTTGTATATACTCACTCGAGTCTGTTTTCCTTGTGGCGTAGATCCCTACCCAAGACGTTACACTTATTTTGTGTTGTGAGTGAATGAATTTATTTTAAACTTTGTAAAAATACAACAGTTGAATAATACATGTACATAATATACACAATACATATACTACGTGATCAAAACTATCCGGACACGAGGCTGAAAATGACTTATTAGTTCGTGGCGCCCTCCGTTGGAATTCCATAGGGTGTTGGCCCACCCTTAACCTTGATGACAGCTTCCACTCTCGCAGGCCTGCTCTGAATCGGCGGCTGGAAGCGTTCGTGGGGGAATGGCAACCCATTCTTCACGGAGTACTGCACTGCGTAGAGGTATCGATGTAGGTCGGTGAGACCTGGCACGAAGTCGGCGTTCCAAAATGTCCCAAAGGTGTTCGATGGGATTGAAGTCAGGACTCGGTGCAGGCCAGTCCATTACAAGGGTGTTTTTGTCGTGTAACCACTCCGCCACAAATCGTGCAGAATGAACAGGTGCTCGATCGTGTAGAAAGATGGAATCGCCATCCCGGAATTGCTCTTCAACAGTGGTAAGCAAGCTAATTCAAAACATCAACGTATGCCTGTGCGGTGATAGTGCCACACAAAACGTGGGGTGCAAGCCATCTCCAGGAAAAACATGACCACACCATTACACCATTTTGGACGTGTCCGGGTACTTTTGATCACAGTGTTCATACATACAATAATATAATATACTCTACAAACTAAGTCTTTTCCATTGATTACCTTATCTTTGGATCTTCTACGTTCATCATGTTTCCCCTCTTCATTCACCTTGTTTTCAACAGGACCTTTTTTTTTCGAACCGTATCTCGTACGGTTTTTGCAAAGATTTAGTATGATCCGGTGTAGTGATTTTAACTGCATCCTCGATGGTTTGTTTAGTGGTCTGCAGCATGGGGGCCTGAGTTGTCTGTTATTGTATGGTTTCTTGAAAAGTCTTAATTTTCCGTGTCTGCCGTCTTGGTACTTCTCCTGATTTGTTTCGAATGTTTTATAAGTGTTTTCCTTATCACCAAATGCGCTCAATAGCGCTTTGAGGTGTTATATTGAGGCGACTAATTCAGCTTTGCCCGGTGTGAGCAGCTTCTGATGTTGTGACAGAAGCTTGAGGGTTCGATAGCAACGATGTTTTGCTTCAGCAATGTTTTTCTCTTCCTCCGTTCTTGGCGTGAATTCGTCTTGGTCCGTTTCGAACTTACCCTCTCTGCCGCCCTGCTTGGGTAACGTTGCCCGGCCCCAGGCCACCTGGAAGTGGTGGAGGCCGCACGTCTATGCGTTCCTTCGACTCGTTTTTTTTACACGAATAATATAAATTCTGTTTCGGGGGCCATTTGGCTTCCCTAAGCCATCTTTATCGCTCGTAATGTCCCCCGGAAGGTACACTATCAATTCGAGGTACTGTCGTTTGGCCCTCGTACGTAAAGATGCACAATCGGAATGCGGCGACCCTGGAACCCGGACGGTCACACACGGACGTTTTGGGAAAGGAAATAAAACGGTGTCCGGGGACCCCAAAACGTGTAGTTCCGTTGAAATCTAGAAATCTATTTTCCGCAGCATTACTCATTCTTTCCTGTACTGCAAATATTACCCCGAATATACATACGTAGGTGTATGAGAAAGTAAAATGTTTTAAAATACTACCAGTATTAATAAGTGTCACGCAATTTTTTTTAATTATTAGCCGCTTAGCGTGATATTAGAAATTCTCGAATTTCGCAGATCTTTTGGTATAATATTTCAAGAATTATCACGTTGCAGATGCAACAATGAAACGTCGCATCATTGCAGTTTGAAATTCACCAATTCATTATCTTAGCATTAAACGGAGGTTTGCATTGTCGAATTTGCGTTGATGTGTTGCCGTTTATTGAATTATTTTTTTCTCGTCTAATGCGCGACGTTTGGTAATGACTGACTTGCGTTAATACGGACTAAATTCCTGACCGACTCAAGAAAGTACGATCTGTTGTAGTACCAATAGTTTGCATTGGCCACATTTATGTTTCTTTTTCTTCATATTTTGATGTTAAATAATTGTTTTTAATTTGGTTGAAGGGTATTAGTAGAAAAGAGCTCCCTTTTCAGGTTGCTTTTCTGCATAAGTTGGCTTTACTACAAATTGACTATTTGGTTGTAATCAGCAATGCCAGAAAAATTGTTTGGTTGTCTAATATACTAATGTAACTGTTGGTGCTAAATATTTAAATAACAAAGATAATATTAGTAAAAAACTAAACAATCGACCCCTCTCCCTCTACACGTCCTGGAATTACAAGCCCAGCTACTTTACATAATACGTTTCTATTTTTAGAGACAATGGTTTTATGAGGACTTTTGAATACATACATACTTTATAAATATGAAAGGATGTGGAATTGGGGAACGTGTTTACTGGGATGAGAATAGGTGAAGGTATTATGAAATGTTGCAGAATCTTGCCTGTTCCTGTATTTATTCCTTTGTCTTTCTTCTTTCCAGTCTTGTTTCCAAACTAGTACTTTCTTCAACAAAAAACTTTTTTGAGATGAATAATTAACATAGTGTTGGTGTATTCCAGATTGTGGTGGCTGTAACCTACGATTTGCTCATCCTTTATATTACCGCATGCACTGTACACTCTTTCATGATCCTAACTTCAGTCTTACAATCCGCAAATACCATTGTAAGGTGTGTGGGACTGCTGTTTTGGGGAAGGAAAACATCATGAAGCATGCAGCGGAGATGCATGATGGCAAAGGAGCTTACCAGTGTCAGTACTGCAAAAAGGTGTGTTTGTGGTGATGGGGTGCTTCCCAGGGCAGTAATTGTGTGTATATAAAATGAATGTTAAAACGTTACGTAATCATTGCTGTTATTTCAGTTTTTTCTGCGCCTTAATTACCTGGAAATGCACAGAACCTATGGCTGTGCTGCTAATCCACAGCGCGCAAGACCTCTTTGCGACTTCTGTGGAAGGAAGTTCTGTCAGCCACAAAAATTGAAGGTGCACATAAAGCGAATGCACAGTGGTGAGTGGTTATTGTACCATATGATGCAGTTGTTGATTTGTGTGTATTTTTTTAATGAAACTGATTTTAATTTATTAACAAAATAGTGTTATGTTAATGTTGGATCTCGTATATTTACTCTCTTGTATAAAGTTATGAACCAGCATACATATTTTGGGACACTTGCCATGCACGTAGTACATTAGGTTGGCATTCACCTTACAAATGTTTTTTACATAATAATTATAAGTTTTCATTATTTATTTACCTTATATACATATATCAGAATGAAAGCTATTCAATATTGCTCATTATTACTTAATTAAACAAGTCGGATGTACCTTCATAGTGTCGGTTTACGGAGACAAACATGAACTTCGCATGAGCTTTCTAGACAAATTATTAAAAAGGAATGAAGCAACGATCACGGCTTGCCATGATTTGTTTTCATCGCAAGTTCATATACAACCTAGGGTAATGGTTCAGACTGCGGCAGGGCCAGCTTAGGGTGTAGCATCGCATCACTTTGTGCCACTTGCAGTGCTTGTGTGCTCGTAGTTGTACAAGCAGTAGCTTGACGAAAGAAGTGCGGGCCCGCCCGCAAAACATTTATCGGCCCCCGTAGTGTATAGCCAACACATGTGTAGTGTTAGTAGTACCTTAAATTATAAAAATATTCTTTATCAAATTCCTATTCATTAGTCTATAATTAATAACCAATAGTAGAAAATCTGCCTTTATTATTTAATTTTATGAAATTAAGACTGATACAAAACCTAAATGAATTGCTCTTTATTGATTTCCTTCCCTTTATTGATTTAGGGAGAGGGTTACATAAGCAACCGAACCGAAAAAATCGTTGTGGGTGTTGCTGTTTTTAATATTTTATTGCATCAACTATCGCAAAGTATTAGAGAAAGTTTCAAGTAATTAATCCTTTTTACAATCCCAAACCTTCAGCGTTAAAAATAGCTCTTCTTTTACCTGAGCCCGCCCGCATTGCAGATTTTGCTGGCCCGAACATTACGCCACTGTGCACAAAATTTTAATCTTGTTGCATCAAGATGCGTCACGAGCTGACTCTTTGTACCCCAACACATAACGTAATTTCTGTCCCTGCAGCTAATTTTTACTTTCTCGTGCTTAAGATGGAACTTCTTAAGCAGAGAAAGTTGTGTAATGCTTTGCGAAAAAACGGAGAATTTTTGGCGAACATCTCTTATTACAGGGCCCTAATAACGAAAACGTGGATAAATACAGTTGCTAAATTTAGAGAAAAAAATCGTTTTACACGTGGTGTAGCTATAATCCAGTTTTGTCGGTCCTTGACACTGAAAAATCGCATGACTGCAAAACTTGTTCGTATGTGAACAACAGTGGCGGCTAAACCGTTCAGCCGATTTTCTTCAAAATTGATATTCTCCGATCGATCTGGCTGATGTCGTGACCTCTTGAATTTAAAACCTATGTTTTAATTTTGAGAGGTACGTTACATGAAGTCTCTAGAAAAAAAAGCTCTAGATTACATTTTGTTGTTAGTGCAAAAATCGTTTAAGAGAATAGCATCGGTCTCGTGTTCGTTAAAAACCTTGTTTTTTCGAAAATTGAAAAGTTAAACTTTTCGGCGTCTTCCTACAACTAATATATTAAAGATAGATATACAATCTGTTCCTTAAAGATAGATTCAAGGAATTGCAGCATATGGATAGATTGGAAAATTTCAATTTTGGAGAAAATCCTGCCGATGGTTAAGCTGGTAGCAATGTTTACAGACTGACTCACAAAAACCGTCAGGTAATTTGCCATCAACCAGTTTTTCATAATCAAGAACCCGGAGAATATGGATTGTATTAACAAGTGTTTGTGGTAGTAATTCATAATAGAACAAGATTTATTCACTTTTTGTCAGGTCCTACAATTAGTTTTCTGTGAAAACATTGCTGTTTTGTGATGCCACAATGCAATACTTCCTTTATACCGTGTAAGTTGTATGTGAGAAAGTAATAAATACATAAGAGCACACCAGACAACTTTTAAATTTTCAAAAGCTATGAATTGCAATAAAGAAAATTGAAAACCTTTTAATTAGTATGCATTACATCAAATAGAAGAAGCACTTATTTGCTCTTCAATTAAGAAAATCGGTTTTGGCTGTGAAATCTGATGTGTTGTTGCGCCACCAGATTATATACGTTATCAAATCTATTTAAAATAACTGAATTTGTTTTGCTGTTATACTTCTAAAAAGTATGTGTGTTATATATTACAGATATGGCAGAAGTACTACGTGAATTTCAATGCAAGATATGCTTGAAGCTCTTAGGTTCTCGAGCTGCTTTACAGAGACATATGAAAGAGGTACATCATAAAGATATAGTGGGAGCATGTACTTGTGATCGATGTGGCAAAATGTTCCAAAACAAATCAAACCTTAAAATACATATGCTAACTCATTCAGGAGTGAAACCATTTAGGTGAGAAAAGTCTAATATAGTGTGAAGTTTGTAACAACTTAGAATTCTGAACATAAAAGAAGAATGTAAAAAATTTGAAAACGTCAAAGATTTTTATAAGTCCATTATGTTTTCAAATTTGCAGGTGTAGAGAAAATGGATGCACAGCAGCATTTACTACGAAACAGTGTCTTCAGTTTCATTACAAAAAAGTTCACAATTTTAATGAGACCAACATGCCAAAAATAGAGCGTTCTGTTGCTTATACATTTGATGCTTATTCTGGTGGAATTGTTAATGATCCTGGCCGTGGTAAAACTCCACGATTTGATAAGGCACGACGCAATTCCGGGGATAATAACAGTAGCAGCCAAATATCACAGGATGACAGCAGTTCTGCTTCAAGTCTAAAAGCTGATGTGTCAGGAACCAGTTCTACCACAGATGGCAACAATGGTGAGTTTTTATTGTTTGATTTTTTTTGTGATTCTATAGAGGAAGTTAAATGATTCTCCAAAAACAGATATTGAGATTTAGACAAACAAATTTGAAGGGTGCTTAATCTTTTCGTTTTTTTTTTCTTTTTCTTCTCCAAAACATGGCCGGGTCATGGTGACACTAGCTGTCCAACATTAAAAAATACGCAAATGTACTTTGAAATATCTCACTCGCTGTTAATATGCATATTTCCAGTGATTTGTATTCATTGTTGCATTTGTGAGTGAAAATGCTACAAACGAAGACTTTCAAAATGACTTACAGTGAAGTTTTTCGAAAATTGTATAAATATATAAATGTATAAATAAGAGCTTCAAAATTCGCTTTTACAAAACGCTCGAACGACTTTTTCTGAAAGCGGCTCTAAATTTTGTAACGAAAAATTGCGTGAAGGATAAGGTTTTACTCTTGTATAATCGTCTTAAAGTAATATTAAAGTTATACTATTAGGAAACTGAAAAATTGAGACAATTTAAAATATAAATTATTTTTAAATATACTTAAGGCAGCGATAGGTGGCAGCTAGTGAGATGGAGCAAGACCGAAAAACTAGGCCAGACCAAAAAAACTAGAAAACTAGTACGAGAAAGTACGTGCCATTCTGTAGTTCCACTAGTTAAATTTGTTTCATTTTACAAAAAAGTTGCGTGAAGGTGTGGGATGCCCACCTGGTCGAAACTATTATGCCTCTTCTGCTGTCAGTGTTGGAAATTTGTGCTACAGTCATAATTGCTGTACAATGGCAAACGCTACTGTACAAAAATATGTTCACCATTAATATCTTCACCATTCTGTCAAGGTGGGGATGGGTCTCTCCATGTCCTGACAGGGGATGCAGTGAAGAGTCTTACGTGTTTGTTATCTATTTTCGTCTGGTTTTTCATTTCATATAATTTATAATTTTTACACTTATTATCGCCTTTTTTTACTTTCCCCTATATGTACGTACATACGGAGTAATATACGTAGTACAGGGAAAGTTATGTTATGCTACGAAAAATCGATTTCGAGATTTCAGCGGAAATACACGTTTTGGGGTCCCCTGATACTGAATAAGTGGTTCTTTTCAAAATGTCAGTCTGTAAACATCACTAGCGCCTAAACCATGCGTAGGATTTTTTCCAAATGAAGGTCCAAACTCCTGTCTATCTGGCTCGAGTCAAAGTTTTCAGATTTTGAAAAACTTTAAAATTTGGGTTTACTTTACATGATGCCCCTTGGAAATTTTAATTTTTTTTTTTAATGGCTCCAATTTTTTTCTTTAAATTATAAGAATAGAGTAAAACACTCTTATAAAAGTGGTATAGGTCGGATTTTCACAGTTAAATCTGAATTTTCCAAAATGTGACTCTTCTTTCAACTACAATATTAAAGATAGAGATTTTTTTACAAATGAAAATTGTTTCCATAATTATTTCTTTCATTACGGTCAGGTACATTTTTTGAAAATTTTACTTGCTTTCGCTCAGTATGTGCAATTTTCAAAAATCACAACAAAAAAAAATGAAGGTTTTCTCAAATACAGCTCCTAATGTTTTCTTTAAACTTTTGGAAGGGATAGTGCTAAATGTACTCTGAGATGACATAAAAATCAGTTTGTTCTCTTCTTCTTCTTCTTCTTTTTCTTCTTCTTCTTCTTCCTTTTTTTTTTTCTTTCATAAATTGCAAAATGTAATTTTTTGACATGTCTCTCTTTAATATTTACATTAGCATTACATTAATTTGTTCACAGTATTATATTTATGAGTACATGTGCTTTAAATAATGTCACAGTTTCTCGAAAACTCAACCGCTTTCTGTTTCTTGAGAACTAGCTCAAAATTCAATTTCCAGAAACGCTGAAACACCATTTCGTGAAGAACGGATTCCGATTTTTTTCTTTAAACTTTTCAAACGAATAGTGCTAATTGCATTCATTAATATGACTTAAAGTTGTTCTCTTTTTTTCTTCTTTTTTTCTTCATAAATTTACACCAATGTAATTTTTTTGAAAGATCTCTCACCCCATTAAAATGCACAATTCCAGCGATTTGTAAACATTATTGTATTTGTGAGTTAATGTGCTTCAAATTACCTCTAATGAAGTTTTTACGAAACTCCAACATTTTCTAAGAAAAAGAGGGACAAACTTCTAATACCCGGTAACCTCTATAACCCACTTTCGATCAATCAGCTCGGACAGTCTTTGACTGAACTCAAGAGTGGGTGGGCGGAGCCGCGGCGGCGCAGTGCTGTCCCCCCCCACACACACACACACACACACTATATCTTGGGTAACCCCTTGTTGGACTTCATGGTGGATGGGGAACCCGGAGACGAATCACGATCCCTCATATGGCACCAAAACTACCTCTCTAGTGGAAGACAAACTGAAAAACCGCATTTATTCCAGAAGGCATGTGCCGAGGAAGAAAAAACTTTAAAAAATGTTAGTGCTGTCCGTCTGACGCGAGCCAAAGCTTTCGAAAAGCTGCAAGTGTTTGAGCCACAAATGAATGGTACCCTTCTGTTTGAAGCACGCACCAGTGAACAAATCGATCGTATTCTAAAAACCAGACAGACTGCCGGTCTCCAGGTGGTAGTGACAACTCGTCCATCCCTCTTATCACTGCAAGAGAGTGGTAAAACAGGAGGAGAGCCTTGGAGAGTGTCGAAATCGTAGCGTCACCGATAGTCAAAAGGAAGGATCGTGGGAAAGTGATCCCTACTTCCAACCTAATCCTTACATTTGGTCGTCCATTCCTCCCTGAAAGGATCAGTTGTAGTTTTTACATGTTTGAAGCCTTTATTAATATCTGTGCGCGAATTCTTAAGTCCTCATTTCGCTAGGTAGGGATGTGGTTATTTTGACTCTTAATATCAAATCGGAAATAGTTTTCAATGCAAAATAGTTTGAATTGTACGGGAGCGAACATTTCTGGTGAACAGTTGTTGACAATGTTCGTTTCTACCGTTTATTCATCATTCAACTAATGTTAGTAAAGAAGTGAAGGTAAGTTTTAATATTTTTTCTTGTAACATGTTACTAAGTTAATGCTTACAATTAAAAAATGGAGACACTGCTTAAACTGTCATTGTGTAGTTAAAGTCGGAAAGTTCGATAACATGTAAACATTTTAATTTTTTTAATCAAACGTAATTAAAACTGAGATAATATCAGATGATTAATTGTTATATATCCACTGAAACTGTGTTGACCATAAACAATATCAGTATTTTGAAACAAAATCCGGAAATCTCGTAACAATTTAAATCGGTGAGAAGCAATTATGATCCTACATACTGTTATTGAACAACTTTTTAAAATTGAGTTTTGCAAAATCGATTACATAATCTTCAAAATTTCAAAACTTAAGGTATTGGGATAGTTCAAGAAATTATGAAAATTTATTGATCCGAAAATTGAAAAGTATAATTAGAAATGAGAATTTTGCAGTGTTATTAAGCAAACTTTTCAGATATGTCAAGTAATCTCTAGTTATCTTCTAAATTTGTGAGAACTTCAGAAGTATGCATAGTAGCAGATGCGGGATTTCAGATCTTTTATTGGGGAGAAAATTTGAGCACTATTATACACTCAATAATATTTGTTTATATTAATGCTTTAAGTTAATTTTGCCACAATTATACACACTGTTTTCAATTTTATTAATTATTTAATTTATTATCAAATGTTATTAATTAGATAATTGAACACAGAGGTGACAATCCCCATTGTTATTTAAACAGGAGCTGTAAATTTAACAAGGAATTTTTTTGTAATGAATCACGTTTCAAAATTTCAAAAATGTTTCTTATTTATTATGATCACAAGTGTTTATACATGACTGTAGAATACATATTTTAAAATATACATTAATAAATTATTTTAATTAAAAATCTTCTCTTTTGGCAAGATCAGAAGTATTTATAGTTTTATTTATAGAGGAGAAGGTGATAATAAGGAGCTTGTATATAGATTTTAAAAAAATGAATTAAATTATTTTTAAGAAACAAATATAACTTCATCTTAATCATGTGTGTAAACTTATAAAAAATATGAACTTTATTAGCTGTTCATAAAGTGGGTAAAAAAATCTATTAAATCAAATCAAAAATCAAAAAAATCAAAAGGCATCATGTTTGAAAAACTAGTGGAAAAAAAATGAACGCCTGTTTTGCATCAGCTCTCATTTACAACAACCACAGAGCTTTGATGGCAAGAGGAGTTATTAATCTAGTTGTTAAAATTATTCCTGCTAGAATGTTTGTGATGTATGAAAAGATACCAAGGAGGGCTCTTATTATATAAATGGTTCTTATCAATACCTTTGTCTCAATATCTATAATAAGCTGGAAATACTTCTCAGCTTAATAAAATTATTATATGCTTAATTATTTATATTTCTTCTCAAAATACAGAAACAAATATTTTATATATTTACTTTTGAAGATCAGCAAAATGACATCTCTAATTTTTTCAATTGCTTGCAAGATTGGGGGGGGGCTCCTTGCCCCCTCCTCTGAATCCCGCCTCGGCATAGTAGCGATAGCAAAATATCCATTAAAAAAATCCTTCTCTCATATTGAAAAGTGTTATTCATGATACGACCGACATTTTCCGAACATTATCTAACGAATACGTACTGTTGTTCAACCTCTGCGTTGGCGTCATTTACGAGGTCGACTCGCCAGCTGAAAATAATACTTCTTAAGCATTTCATTCTAAATATTAATTCGCTACCTAGAAATGCAACAAACGCAAACGCGACTTTTGCGGTTGCGAAAGAAAGGTGCTTGAGTAACATAGTATGATTAGGTAATAAACAGAAACTAGTGGTGCTACAGAATGGCACGGACTTTCCCGTACTAGTTTTCTATTTCTTTTGGTCTCAGTTATCTATTCGAACTTGCCATATATTCTTGCCTGCTGTCGTCTATTGCCATCCAAAGTACGTTTTTTTACATTATCTTAATTTTTCGGTTTCCTAATTGTAGAGCGGAAATATTATTATAAGATTATTAAAGAACAGTAAAACCTCTTCCTAAATGACAATTTTCTTTGAAAATTGGGAGCCAGTTTTTAAAAAATGGCGTGTAAGTGCTATTGTAAATTCGATATTTGAAGCTCTTTTTCACAGAATTTTTTTGTTTTCGAAAAACTTAATTTGAAATCATTGTAAGGTCTGTAACTCACGAATACAATAGTGTTCACAGATTGTTGCAAATGTGCATATCAACGGCGCAAGAGATCTTTAAAAAAAAATTACATTTATGTAAATTTTGAAAAAGAGAAAATACACCGAAATTGACTTAACGTCTTATTAAAGAGTGCATTTACCACTATTCTCTCGAAATGTTTGAAGAAAAAGTTTTGAGCCGTTTTTGAAAAAATGTTTGAGTGATTCTGAAACTGCGGAGTTTTGAGCTAGTTTTTACAGGAAACGGTAAACTTTTGGAGAAACTTTATGTGACATTATTTAAAGCTCATGTGCTCATAAATACAATAATGTGTACAAATTATTGCCAATATAAATATTAACATCAGGGGCAAGTCAAAAAAATTAATTTTTGTAATTTTTGAAGAAAAACACCAATAAAATAGATCAAATGTGTTTTTGTCAGCGTATAGAGTACATTTAGAACCATCCGTACCCAAAGTTAACGGCGATTTTTCAGAGAATATTGTTTTTGTAATTTTTTTAAAATTGCTCGTTTTGCACGCAATATTGCACGAAAACTACTGAAATTAAAAAAAAAAGAAAAGGTACAAAATGTACAAAATTTTGAAAGTTTCGAATATTCAGCGTTAAACCTGAAAATCATGTCTATGCCATCTTTATACGCATGTGTAAGTGTATTTTTTAAAATTTAAAACATTTGGAACCGTTGAGAACATTTTGAAAATGTCCGGGGGCTTCATGTAAAGTACCCCCTAATTATAAAGATTTTTTTTCAAAATCTCAAGATTCTACCCAAGCCAGATCGACACGGGTTTCTTCAATTTGGAAAAAATCCTACGCAGGCGCTAGTAGTGTTCACAGACACCAGACGGACGGTCAGACAAATGTTTTGGGAAGAAGAAAAAGAAAAACAAACAAATAAACAAAAACACTTGTTCGGTATCAGGGGACCTCAAAACCCATATTTCCGTTGGAATCTCGAAATCGATTTTCCGCAGCATTACTGCAGACTTACGCATTATCTTAGCATAACTGTCCCATTACTATGTATACGGGAAAGTAAAAAGGTAAAAGTACTATGTATACAGGAGTACAAAATGTTTCAATTTAATGTGTGAAACAGAACCTGGAAAATTTACATTTTCAGCTCTGCAAAACCAGTAAAATTCCAAATGTTAGGTCCTTGTCACCCTGAAATTACTAATAATTGTTATGTAACTTTTTTCAGAAATATAGTGGCTTAATTGGTCCCTAGGCATCCCTACCAAAGGAGCCTAAATGTGGCTCCTGTAATTCTAATTTACTTATTTCTGTTTGCATTAAGTTTTCTGAGATTCACATCTTACTAATTATTTCATTGAATTTGATTTATTTAATGGTGTTCAGTTAAAGGGAGTTATGTCACTTTTTCTGAAGGTAAAGTTTTGTTGCTTAGGGAGTTGATAATATCTGACTGAATGACAAAATTCGTAATCTACGTAACAAATTTACAATTGAAATGTAATATTAAATTTTTTTAAAATAGTCTACTCTACAATGATAGCGCATGATTTTATTTCCAAGTTAACTTCAATATCACTTTTATTTCTTTATCTTGTTTACCAAAAAATCATTTTATCAATATATATATTAAATAAAAGTCTACGGAATGTCAAATAGGAGTTGTTTTTTTAATTGTTTAATCATAATCTTCAGAGTTTTACTTCATATTAATTTCTTCTCCTATATGTACATATGAATAGTATGGACATGTTCCACTGTAATTCTGGCTTAATCTGCTTAAGTATTTTTGTTTTATTTAGAGTGAAATTTTGATTTTGATCATTCTTTATTTCATTCCCTACTACAAAAACCTTATACATTCAGTAGGTGAGGTAAATCTATGATTCTCACTCATGTATCTTCTTTTGAGTAAAGTCATTGTTATTATATTTACTTCTTTTCTAGGCCTAGAAGACAAAGGTCCATTTGATGGTCTTCCTCCTTTGACTCCACCACCTCCACCTGTGCCTGTCGAGTCACAAGTTCAACACCCACCAACTTTGGAAGCCTACATTTCTCCTCACGCTTTCAGTGGCAGTCCTAGCAAGGTAGTGGTAAGCAAAGGCAGCAAAAAATGGATGGGTGATGCCTTGACACCTTTAGATACTTCACGTGTACCACCAAAAGAATCCGAGAAAGATATATATGAATTTGAAGATGATAAAGGTAGTGGTGTAGCAGATGTTTGTGATGATGATGTGAGTATAATTGAAGCAAGTAACCACAAAGTGGCAGTTTCTGTGTATCCTCGACCAGAATCCTCTAATGCCAGCCTTTTAGTTGAAGCTGCTCTTGATGCTGCTGAAAGGGACATAGATATGTCTGGAAGCTGTGTTGTTACCACATCTGTTCAGTCACCTAGTGTTATTACAGCTAGTGATATAGGATCAGGAAAGTCAAATGAGGTTCTGTATGCTATGACTTCTGCCCCTGGTCATCATTTAGTGAATGGTCATCATGCATCTCTTAGTGTATCCTCTCCAGTTCAGCACTCCAGAACTCCTCCTGAAGGACATGAACAAATGGACAACTATACATTGCACCCTTCAGAAGACCTTGTATCTCCAGCAACAACTCCTGATCCAAATATGCATCGTCAGCAGCATTTGAGTCCCGAGACACCTCCATCCAATAATTTGCAGCATATGGACAATTACACTCTACAGCGAAATGAAATAGCATCCCCTCATCAGTCAGGAGATTTGAACTCTTCAGGTCACCATTTGCATCGACCACAAGTTGATCCTTATACTATGCATCACCAGGAGGATTTAGTGTCTCCTTCTGAAACACCAAATCCTCCTCCTCCACGGCCACATTTAGTGGATGGGTATGGCCTGCATCATCAGGAAGAGATGATGTCTCCTGCTGGAACCCCTGATGATCATAGAAACCATGTTGATAATTACAATATGCATCATCAAGAAGAACTTGTGTCGCCAGCTGCAACACCTAATCCTCGTTATGACTTGCATCATCATCAGGTGCCTACAGACAACCTTTCCAGTGATGAAGGAGAAGGAGTGGTAGTGGCTCAGAATCTGAGTATGGGTCTAAAGGAGAAAGCTTTGCAACTTGATATTGCTGCTACTGCTGCTGCATACAAACAATATGAGGCTTTAGAAGTAGTTCAGGAATTTGGACGTTCGGCTGGTGGAGAACGGTCAGGGTTTGAGCCCCTGCTTGTAGGCTCTACAACAGAACTTCAAGGACTAGATATGTCAGCTAGATCTGGTGGCTATCATCATAGCTTTGTGTCATCATCATCGCAACCAATGACACGATACCACCATACGAGTGTTTTATACGACATGGCAACAGAGCGTCAGAGTGTAGACTTAAGCATGTCAGGACGTGGAGGTACATATTCTACATCACCTCCTCCACCATACACTCATTCAGATGTGCTTAGAGTTGTAAGCCTGGATTTGACACCAGGAGGACGTCACAGTGTGGATCTCTCTCTTCCTCGATCATCTTCAGCATCTATGCCACATCACCACCATCCTCATCCACATCATCATCATCAGATTGCTTCATCAGGACGAGTCATGGCCCCTGCATCCTCGCCTACCGACCCTCGTATTGTTGCTCCACCAGCTCCTCCAAGTACACCAAATCATGTTGTTCCAGAACTTAGTAGAGCTTCTAATCTAATGTCGCCTCTTCCAACCGTCAACAACCAGGGTCTTGTTGACCCTGCACGAATGATGTCTCCTCCTCCACATCCTGGATATCAAAACTATCCCCTTTCTCCTTCCCCCTATCATCCACCATCTCGAACCCCACACATCACCTCTACCTCTCCTTCAACGTATCATCATTACTCAGGATACTACTAATTGAATATAAAATTATATTTTTAAAAATATAAAAGAGTAAAATCTCTTGAAAAGTCTCAAAGATATGGCAGTATTTCAAATGAAATTCTCAGCGATGTAGCCATAGAACTTTGTAGTAGACTGAATAACTTAAAATTCAGTTTTGTATTATGTTTTATTGTACTCACCGTTTGTTTTTCTGAATCAGATGCTGTATATGGAATTCTGATGTTACCATCTTAATGTTTATGATATTTTATTATTAAATTAGCATTGCCATTTTGAAGGGGGCAATGTAGTGACACTCTCATTTTGAAATCCATTTATTAATGTACATTATTGCAGTGCATTTAGATAAACAATACTCTATTGCTTAAATCAAAAGTTTTTATATCTTTCGTAGTGTAATTTTATGAAAATGAATGTACAGGTATATGGGACACACAATAATTGTGTTCTGCATCAATCCAACCTCATGCCAAATTGCTCCACAAGGGAGAATGTTTTTATAATTTGTTGCCACTTAAATATATAAGAATGTTTATTGCAACTTGTTTGATATTATGGTATTTGTGCTTCCGTACTCCTGCTTGTTTCCATATTGCGTTTTCTATTTTTGTGAATGTTATTTCAACATTATTTTGCTGATTTCATGGAAATGCAGGTAGCAAAACAGACGCAGGGCCAAAGGTGAAGCACAAATAATGTCATTTATCTTATTAAAATCATTATATTCACAAACCTTAATAATTCATTGTTCATTTAGTCCTGCAAGTCATATATAAAATTAACATAAATTTAAGTCAAATATTTAATTCATCATGGTCCTATTTTATGTGCAAGAATTAAAAATAAGCTTCAGTTTGCACACTTATTGAATCTTTACAGCTCAGGTGAATTAGCCAAAGTAATGCTTCACACCAATTATTTGCAGCTTCAGTACTAGTCACCTGCAAAAGCATAGTATTTTGTTATATTTTTATTACGATAATTGTTATTATGTAATCTACAGTATTACTTATTTTAATAGCAGCATTTCTGTTGTAAGGAGTTTAGTCATTGATTCTATATTTCGTACCTGAACAGTTCAGGTAAACTAGAGTAATGGACTTAACGAACACAGACTATCAGCTTTCTTGTTATTGTGGAATGATACCAAATGCGTACTGTAAAGACAAATCATTTAAAGATTAGATTTAGGAGAATGTGTTAGTGTAGTTGAGTAGGTAAACTGTATTACTATAGATCCTCATGTGATGCTATAGGCTTTCATTTTTAAAACCCATTTATGAAAGTCTGAAATGTTGATGCATTTTTTAAAAAATGTTTTGATCAAATTAAATTAGATGAGTGTTTGATCTATCATATATATATATACCAATGTTGTTGTAGCATTTTACATACATTTTAATCACAATTTAATAAATTGCTGGTATCAATGTTACCAAAGTGCAAAATAACTGAATGAATCTATTATTCTTTATTAAATTACTATGTAGTTTGTTTGTTTTTTTTTGTGAATTTCTTGATATTATTAATTAAATACTGCAAAAAAAGCATTATCCATGAATAATGGAAAAAGATGAAAAGTGTATGCTTCCAGACTTATATGTGTTCATATACAATTCAGGAGACATAAAAATCTTTGTAACAATGAAATTGCATGTTCATGTTATTGTAGATACAACTGTGCTTAATGCCAAAGATTTTTAGAATGCCATGCTGCTGTTAATACTATCAAACTCGAAACAATGAATTGTGAGGCAGCAGTAGTAAAAAGAATAGATCTTATTTTTGCAAACAACTCTTTTTTTATACATGAGAATTTTTGTTTATACTTGTGTTTTACCATGCTATTAATGTCTGATAAAACTGCTAAAATAATCATTGCTACCTTTGGCAGTTTGTCCTGATATTTGTTATCTGCTTTGTAAGCTACTTTTATAATACCATGTGTTAAAAAATGTGTTTCATGCTATGAGCTGGTAATTAGAGATCAACTTCAATTTTTTTAAATTGATTTGACATTACTACTTCAGGGTTAAAAGTATTTTCATCTTCATTGACCTTGTGTTCTTTCCTTTGTGAAAAAAAAGCCTTTACTGTCTAAACTATCGGAAAAGTATGTTCTTTTAATAAATTGTTGTTTTTTTAAATTTATTAATTTTCTTTTGCATTTATGTTTAAAAGTTCAAGAACAACAGTTTTTAATATTTAAGTTTTTCATAAATAATATCATTAATAAAAGTCTGAAAAGCACTTTTTAAAAAACAATTCTTTCTTTTATAAAGTACATAATCAGCATTATTTTTTTAATATAAACAGCATTAAATATAAAATGCTGTTTATATTAAAATTTCCTAGTCACTTAAAGTATTCTTGTAGCTGTGATTAGTTGTATAGAACAATATTAAAATGTTTCATGCCTTCCCAATTAATGAAGACAATTTCATTTGCCAAATAATTTGTGTTGTTATACTTATATTGTTGAAAGTGGTCATACGTTAATTTTATTTTTGTGTTGTCAAATTTTTAATTTTTAAAGATGTTCTCAAATTTTTAATTTCTGAGCTCTAATTCTTTTAACTTGGATTTGCTTTCTTTTCTAAGATTGGTGCTCTCTGCCCAACCATGTAAAAGTTACAAAATAGGAAACAGATCAAGTATCAGAACTTGCAGACCATGTTTTTCATAGTGAATATGAGTGAATGTAAAGATTTCAATGTGTTAAATATAGCATTTAAAAATTATATTTACTATCAAGCAAACTTTCATGTCTTCTTATATTGAAATGTGAAGTATATGCTTTTGTGCCAAACATTTATTGCTTAGATTTATGCTAATTGGTTTTTAAATTGTGATGTAAACCAGTTCATCCTGTTAGTGCGAGTATATGTAGAGTATGGTCTATACATTTATTAAATCTCCTGTTCATAGATTATATATGATATACATAGCATCAAATGTATTGTTCGTTTAATTTTTAGTTGTTGTTTATACTAATTCAGTTTAAGCATCTTGTTATTATTTATTTTTAAATACTCTATGTCATGAGTAATGTATGCAGCATGTTTACTTCTTATAATCATCTTCCAAAATTAATCATGTTACAAGTAAATTTGTATGAGTCATATTCAGAGAATAAAATAAATGAAATTGTAAGTATGTAATTATTAAAGCAATGAAATAAGATTTCTGTGTAATATTCTTACTTTCTTCATATCTTGCACCTTCTGTAATCTAATAAGACATTTTATGATTATAAGCAAGAAATGTTCAATGAAAAGATCCTTCAGTACAACTTTGTTCCCAAAAAATTATCAGATTCATATTTTTGAATGTGACAAAGGATTTAAAATATTCAAATATGTTTCTATTACAGGTTGATAGAAAGTATTTAGCACTAATTGTTATTTAGCACTGCTAGAGTATATTATATTAATATCTTCCACAAATTTCTTTAGGTTCAGACCATTGTTAAGTGATAAAAATCGAGGAAGTAGGTAAGGAGTACCTGGAGAATTTGGTTGAAACCAATATGGATTTTGTAATTTTCATCATTAATACAGATTACACAGATCATCGTATTCAGTGAAGTGCAGGTTTGAATTTAGGACATGGTAAAAAGAGTTAAAAACAAGATGTGAAGGATAACGTCTTGGTGGTCATCCATAAACTACGTAATGCTAAAGAGGGGTGGAGGGGGTTTGAGGCAGCGTAACACTGTATTACTAGGGGGTAAGGGGGTTAGTTTAGTGTTATGTAACATTGATTTATTTTTAATTTTTTGATCTGGGTGAAAAAATTACTTTTTTTATCTTGTAACAAAACATTAAAATATTAATTATTTTGTTTAAAAACAAATAATTTAAAGTTATTGTGTAATTTGTTACAATAAACATAATACACTATACAAAAGTATTTTTTACAGAATCGTTTTCGTTACCGGAGCCCTGTAATACGAGTTTGCCGAAAATTCACCGTTATTTTGCGCAGCATTACATACCTTCTCCCACGTCCCTAGTTTATGGCGAGAAACACGTCTGAAAAAAAAAAAAAAAAAAAAAAAAAAAAAAAAAAAAAAAAAAAAAAAAAAAAAAAAAAAAACAGAAAAAAAAACATAATACACAGCACCTCGCCTGTATCACACCTCAACTCTGACAAAGACGGGGGGGAGCTGCAGCCCACCTCCTCCAGCCGCCACTGCTCATGGGTATTGCAAGGGGTGAGATATTTGCATGTTAGGGAGAATTTTGGTTGCAACTCTGATGACAGGGGATATCAGATTGCTTTCTATTAGAATACGTAACACAGTCAAAGTTGTGTAGAGATTAAGCAAAACAAGGCGATAATTACTCCAGTGCAGCCTTGTGAGGTGACGATGTCAGTATGATGACTTCTTTCTTCACCGCGTTCGTATTCTATTTAATTTTCTTTTGGTTGGACGTAGAATCCAATGAAGATTAAGGTTGTTTACCGCGATTCTCTGAATTTCACAATTTGGAGAACCGCGTTACTTAGGGGGGTGTTGTGATCTTTCTCAATACAGATGACGATGACTCCGGTTGGTGATTTATGATATCACATGTCTACCCACTTAAGGGTCTTTATTTAATGCCAACTCATCTGTCAATGAAGCGGGAGAAATGGGGTCAAGGTCAATGACCTGTGAAGTAAAAGATTGATTTCCCTCAAATTGTAATTTCTCAATACCACAGACTCAAAAGCTCTCGCAGCCCTTTAAGTCGTACAATTCTTCATGTACGAATTACCAAACTGTTCCGCTACCTGGAATTGGGTGATTGCCTTTACTGGATAAATTTCAACATGCGCTATAATTGATGCGGCGGAAGTCCGCACCAGGACTCTTACCCCGACATGAATGCAGACCCTTGCCCCCAATTGTCAAAATTATATCTTTTAATTTCTGCTACCTTCTATCAGGCTTCTACGAAACTATTTAGTAGTGCGATGTGTAGGTAACATTTCACATAACCATACTCATAATGGTAGATTTTAATTACTGTGCTATTAACAGCGTAAACATATTTCCAAATCTTGTAAATTTACATCCAATAAAGATTCAAGTTATATCACACCACATTGTTGCAGCAGAATTTCCATTGGATCTACCAAACTCTTCTTACAGAACATCATCCATAGCACGTTCCTATTTATATTGCTGAAGTGCCTGCTTCACCTCTCGAAAACAGAAATTAAGCTAATCGGCATCCCGTGTGGACTTATGCCCCGTGCTTCTCTACTCTACTCTTTTATAAGAGATCGTGTGGGAAACCGCAAAAGTTCGAGAAGAACCTTTAGTAATGTAATTTTTGGTTTTCACGCATTGGAAATAGTTTATAGTGCCTTGTTAATTTGTAATGTAGCTTTTCGGTTTGTTATTGAACTCTTCAACATTCGAAGATTATTAAATTCAATTGAAAAATGGGCATTACACATTTATTCTCGTATTTATTAGCCGTGTTTTGGGGACACCAATATGGCGGAATGCTATGGAACCTGGCTCCGCTTGCGGAAAAGGGCCGAGGTTGATAGCGTTACCTCCATATATTCGTAGGAAGGTAGGATGGGTGGAGCCATTGTGGAAATACATGGGTGAGTTCCTCCGGCACACCGATTTTTGCTAGTTCTGCGCAACGCCAGTTTGCGTTACGAACTACGTGATCACAGACGGCCAAGAAAAAACCTTTACTGCTGCACAACTGTTTCTATACAATCAGAGACTATACAGAGCATCCAAAAGGAAAGTAATATTAATTTTAAGCACGACATTTAATATATTATTTACCATTTGGATTGTATAATTCTAAAGAACCTGTAACAAGTATTACTCTTCAACTTCTGGGTCAATGACATCCACCTCGATCAGGTTTTTATCCAGTTTCTCTGATCCTTGAGCAAATGCTGAGATGGCCCCTTGTTTTGCTTGTGGGCATAAATGTAACTTCAATTGAACTTCACCCCATAGCACGTAAATAAATCAAATAAAGTAGATTCTGTTAAATCTACTCCTTATATTTTCCTACATAGGGCATAACATCTCTTTTCTTTTAACACATTATAAGATGGATTTTTTCCTCTTCATCCAAACTGCAGAACTCCAATGTTTCACTAATTAAAAAGAATAAAAGAAATCTGCCTCGGCAATGAAATAAAGTTATAGTTTCACTTGCATATACATAATTTTTACCAAATTGAATGCGTTTGTGTCTCGTATAAAAAGTAAAGAATGTCATTTCGCTGGATAACGGTTTTGTGTTACGGGCATTCCCAACTACTTTTCTTAACTGTTTGTCTTGTGGACTACATACATAGATCGTTGTATAATAGTTTGGGGTTGTTAACAGGAAATATACACTATTTTCTAAACATATTTCTTCACAATTGCTAAATGACAAATTTGAAATATCTTTTATGCATGATATAATTTTAAGTAGGTTTTTGTATCTTTCACTTGGTTATATTTTGTATTGTTTAGCTGCAGTAAAATTATGTGTAATTTAGTATCACATATGATGGATTGGCGAGGATTTATTCCTTTATTTCACATAACAGGATTTTTCTTCATGCTTACTGTAATTTTTTTGTACATGAAGTTTGCATATGTAATTTGTGTTGTATGTATTGTATACGTATTTTACAAATAAATATTGTTTATATGAAATACATTTTTATTTTCACTTCCTTCATTACAATTTAATTATGCACCTCACAATTACAAATCCTTTTAGAATTACTGACTTCTATATAACCTTAAGCATTATTTTCACGTAAAATAGGTTATATTCTATAACTGTCCGCGTTATGTAATGTAATTTCAAATGCCCCGGTTCACATCTGCTCTCTATTTGAATTGGTACATCGCCTTTCGACGCTTATTGGCTGGTGAGGACAGAAATGGATACTTCTGTCGGAGTGCGGGGGTCGACCTTAACCGTTCCCTACAAATAAGGAGCTTCCGATTAACATTGAGTGCCGTGCTGTTATGGTCAACATTAGTTGAAATAAGAATAAATGATAGCAACGACCGTTGTAGACAAAATCTGATAATCAGAATGATCGTTCCCGTGTAATAGAAACTATTTTGCATCAAAAATGGAACAAAAAATTTTGATGCAAAATTCCTTTCGTCAAAATAACCTAACTCCGCACTCTCCTCGCAACTAGCGAAGCGAGAGCTCAAGAAAACTTGCGCGGATAATATATACTCTCTAGCGTGGATGACCAAGCTTGAAAGGTGTCTCCAAAGGTGAAGGTGCCCCAAGAGATCTCAACATTATTGCATTATAGCACAAAATAGCGATTGCAACTATACTAGGATTTATTTAACCATGCACTTGACATTAATCATGTTTTCACAATTCATTTAATCGGAAGCTTGAACGTCCCCATAGTGAAGGCTCTGTTGCGACATGTAAGCTCCCGATTGGAGGAATTACATTAGCTGATTTACGTCAAGTGCACGACTACATAAATCGTACTTTACTTTGAAGCTCACTGGGGTGTCGAAGTTCTGCAAAAATAGTGCGTTGTTTCGATCAATATTTTTCATAGATTGCCTGTTAATCAATATTATTTTATTATATTACAAGTATTGTGTATATTTGTGGTTCGAAAAATAGGTAAAACAATTTCTATTCAACAGTTCCTACGGCGCATGAATACAATTTGTAAAACTCTTTCCGTGGCTTGATTGCAAAGAATTGTGGTCTCACACAACGCACTGAAGCAGCCATTTTGTTGGAAAGTGTTGAACGGGAAGTTTGATGCTGTAGTGGAGTAGCGCATTATTCCGTAAATAGCGTAATCCCGTGCCTCTCACGTTATATTCTCTCAAATAATTTATCCTTTACGTAGTTAAGGGAAAATGGGAAGGTCTGGAAGGTAAGTTGATGGACGAAGCGTTTTCCAATAGAGGAGACTTTAGAGAGACTTAAAATAGTAATTTGTAGTAGTTAGGGATGTAATTATTCGTAGATTAGTTTTGTAATTGCATGAAAAATTTCACGATATTGTAAACCATCACTACCTTTGTAAAATCATCTCATTTTAGTATTGAACTTGCGTGGGCATCCTCATTTCAGCGTTGCTATTAGGAAACGAATGCTCGTAAAGGTATCTTACGTGTTGATTGAAGTTTCTGGAATTATGAATATTAACTTGACTTAAGAGCTGGAGAAATCGTAAGAAGTAGTTTGCTTTGTAGGCCATACGGTTTACGGTGTGCGCTTCCATCAGTATTCCATTGTAAAATTCAACATGTCGGTATACGCCATTCCAAATATTGCTTATCCAGCAGATAACCTGTATGTGCATTAAGTGGAGGGACAATTCTTACGACCCTTCGTGCTGTTTAAATTAATGAAAATTGATATGAATTTTTCCAACATATCCTTGAAAACAAGTGTCTAGCAGAACTTTTATCTAATTAGTTTCATTGGGATGTCTTAAATTGTAGTACTGAAATCTTAATTGAAGGATTTGTAAATGGTTATTTTGAAAAAGTGTTCCTGCAACCACCGCTTACTTTCATTCAATTTTTTTTTTTTAAACAAAAGCAATTCTGTTTTAGTATTCGAGGTATAATTTTTTATGTTACTAATGTTAAAGGAAATAAACTGTGCATCCTATTTGAAACAAGTTTTTGTCAAAGAAAACTTGAATGACGGATGCTATAGAATTTTGAAGGCAAATTAGCTTCACCAAATGGACTAATTGGTGAAGTCAGTCACCTTCTAACAGTATTTCTGAAGTATAAAATGTTAATAAATTACTAAAAGTTGTAATATTTCTTTAAAAGTTGTAATATTTCTTTAAAAGTTGTAATATTTCTTTAAAAGTTCTAATATTTCTTTAAGTAATTTGCAGTTGTAATTTTCTTAACATTTGGTTGTTTTTTTTCCAGAGATCGTGACAGAGATCGTGATCGTGATAGAGATAGAGACAGGAGGCGAGACAGAAGTAGAGATCGCAGTAGAGACCGCAGTCGTGATCGCAGCAGGGATAGAAGCAGAAGTAGGGATAGATACAGAGATGACCGAAGAGGTGGTGGCAGGGGGAAGAGGGGTCAGCCTGGAAGTGGCTTAAGAAAGCCTCATTGGGATCTTAGTAGATTACAGCCATTTCGCAAAGATTTCTATGTCCCTCATCCAGATGTGGCAAACAGGTAAATTAATTCTTTTTTGTCAAGTTTTGATGTCAAATTCAAATTATAAGTTTACTATATTAAAACATGGTGTACTGATTTTAGATATCAAAAAATATATATTTGACTTGTGCTAAATTACTTGAAATAGAATTTTTCGTAATGCATGTTAAATTTTTAAGAGATTGTTATTAGCATTAGGCTGATGCATCAAATTAAATTCTATTTGTTTAGCAACCTGATCAAAGCCCTAGATTATTAAGGGCAAAAAATCCTGTGTTCCTTTGGAATGGAAGTAAAGCCAACTCTCCCATGTTAGTAGATTTACGGCATGTAAATGGTCAAGCCTAAAAGAAGCCTCTGAGCTAAATTCAAATAACCTGTTTCGTTGCCCTAGAAATACTTCATCAGCTAGTTAGTGAAAAGAGCAAAATTTGCGTGGTCAGACTGATGAGCATGCCTTATGGCTTGAGTCTCGCCACTTAAAATAAGGCATCAATTCAATTTATGTAATCATTATCAATAAATATGAATCTAAGAGATGATAAAAAGTTTAAAGTACAAAGAAAAATACAACCATAAAGGTTACGTTGTCAGACTTGTGATAATGCTTTAGGGATGGTAATATAACCAATTTCTTCTTGGATTCAAGTGTTAATAATTTATATTGAAGATTATTTACACAATTAATTTCATGAAATGCACCTATTAATTTTGTGATCTAACTAATTTTTCCGAACAGTTCAGTGAGGTCAATAGTAATGCAAATGCATCTGTTTAATTTAACTATTTAATTATTAGCTTTTCAAAGTAAACAATTTATAAAAATATAGCATATCATTATTATAAGTAAGTCTTCAGTAACTTGTCTGTTGTTACTAGACAGTTTTTATACTTATTTCTTCTCCATTTCAACAGGATGTGGTTCAGTGTTCAGGTGAAAGAGCTGGCTAAATGGTCTGAGCCTCTTAGCCAATAAACACTTATTTATTTTCTTTATACACGAGATTGTTGTATTTGTGGTAATAGAACTTAGATTTTTTTGAACTTATTGTTTTTTATTGAAACACGAAGGTACACAATGAATATAAATTGCACAGTAAACATATAATTTTGCAATAAGATTCAATTTACTACTACTATGTTGTAACTACATTGGTATAGCCTACTTCCTGAACAAGCAGTAGTGATACAATTAATTCAAATGAAAAGTAGGTTAAAGTTTAGTATACGGTACAACCTTAGAGAAGCGTGGCAGCAGGGTTTAAGCCCTAATTACTGTACATGCTCTAATAGAAATGAGTAAAACTTACGAATAGATTTTCATGGTTCGCCCTTTATATGCTTTGTCTCCACTGCATTATAATGCCAATTTACTTTCAAAGGCAAGTTTTCTCGCTTCGCTCGCCCAGATCCAAGTCACGGCGAGGCTCGGGCCTTCGACCCTTGTGTTCACTATAAAAATCCTTGAGTCTATCCAACACATAATTACCAATTTTTTTATAGGAAATCACTTTTCAAGAAAGCCTTCAAAGTTTTGAACTACCTATTTAACACCGAACTGCACGGAGTGCCGGTTTAAACGACTTCCTTAGGTTGTACCGTATACTATTTCAGCCAAAAATTGTACTGTAGTTAGTTACTAATGCATGCCAAATGATTAAGACAGCCAAGCAGTACTAGATAAATATATCAATTACACAAGTTAGAAGCACTTTCTGTGCTCAAAGGAATTGTGAAAAAATTCAAGGTATGATAATTATTTTCAGTATTAAAAGTAGTGTATTAAGTTAAAGAAATTAAAAATATGTGGGATTGAAGGAGGGAAACGTAGTACCACTTGCCCAAAACCAGTATTAGAATGCCACAAATGCTTCCCATCAAATAGTTGCAAATGTGCCACAAAGAATATTAGAAAAAACATGTATATATACATTTAAATATACGGGACACATACTTTGAAAACCTAGAATTACAAGAATGATTTGGAATAAAAATATGGGTGTGAATTGAATATATATGATCTTTGTATGGGGAATTCTTATGAAGGGTTAAAACAATGGAAAAATAGAAACTGTTTTGGATATTAAATCAATTTCTGTTAATGAGAAATGAAAAACAGAATGTAAAATTAATAAAACTTTCTCCAATAAGGAATTAAGAGGCGATAGTCTGGACCCATTTCGAACACTGAGGAATAAAAAGTTAATTACATCTGTGCATTTACTTTCTGAAATTGAAGTACATTCTTTCCTGTAATATTCTTTTTGCTCTGTGCTCCACGTAATTGTTTCACTTAGTGCACTCACCTAAAAAGGATTGATGGCACTTGACAAGAGGATGGTACAAGACTGGAAACCTTGGCCAGACCATAGACATTTGAAAACTAACTAGAATGAGAAATTCTGTGCCGTTCAGGCTTACCTTACAGGCAACATTACGGGCTTGAAATATTGACATTACAGTGAACATGGTTTTATTTTATAACAAAAGAAAGTGGGCAATATGACCTTGGCATGTCTACTGAAAATCCTTTAACACATGAGTACTTGGCTGTATCTCTGGTTGATGTGAGATGATTTTTTGCATAACTAAGCATTATGTACATCATACACCATTCAATATAAAGATACTGACATTGTGCCATCTTCAATGTGTTAATCTAATATACAATTTTACATTGTAGACATGTTCTGCATTAATCATTTCATGAATTCCAAAATTTTCATTGTGGGCAAAGCTTCATGAGCTGTAATAATAATTCATGATAATTATAAGCTTGAATTACAGGATAGAATTGCCTGACAAAATACAAATTTTCTTCCAAAAGATGTCACTAACATGAGCCTTCTACATGAGTTGTAATGATTAGGCATACTAAAGTAACGTCTCATTCATTGTCAAGAAGTATGTGAAAGCAGATTTCATGGATTTAAAAAAAAAAAGAGTAAGAGGGAATAACAATGCAGTCTATGATGTGTAGGAGTACCGATCACACAAATGGAAACATTGTGCAGAGAGTGTTACTCGGCATTGATTGGTAAATACAACAGACTACACCTGCGAACGGTACAGCAATTCTGGGAACAAGCGGCCGACAGGGAACATACGTAATAATCTAAAGTGTTTCTTCGTTGAGCTTAACACAATACAAATTATGACTTTTTAAATTAAGAGTTAGGAGATCAGGAAGAAACAGCATAAGTTGCGAAAACTCTTGCATGTTAACTCCACTCTAATTTACCTAAGGGTATCATGAAACAGAAATATGGGTACATCTTCTCTGTTACCATCGTAGTTCCTCCTTAAGTACACAGCACTAGCAGACCATGTCAAAACTTGAAATGAATGGTTCCACTACACACATCAGAAGCAATTTTCATCAGTATCAAGCAACTATTAATGGTACTTGTAGATGTTGTCACAGAATCTTCAGTGTTATAATCATTGTGATTAACTTTGTCGAGTTACGTGCAACCCCAGTTATACAGAAGGAAGTAGTTGATATTTAAGAATGAGCTCTTAGATGTCTTATATCACAGCACGTATTTATGTTGGCTGGGAATTTTATGTAGCTATTATTTTTCATCACTCTGGAACTCTGCAGTGTCTCCTCTTTTTGGCGTATCTCCATTTTTTGTTGACTACACAAAAGAGATAGAGCAAGTGTGAAACAATAATTGCCTCCGGTGTTAACGTATATATGTTGTTTTCCCATCGCTCAGGTTTCCATACAATCTATTATTGTGATATAAATTCTAATGAAAGAATAAGTACTTGGAAATTTTGATGTAGCTAATATTATTCATACCCTGGAAACTCGACAGTGTCTCCCTTCTTGCGTATCTCAATATTTTATTGATTGCACAAAAAGAAGGTAGAGCAGGGTGAACATAATGCCTTCGGTGTATACACGTTAATGTGTATTGTCCCATCCTCAGGTTTCATACAATCTATTATTGATTATACTTTCTAATGAAGAAGTGTAGGTAGCTTCAAAATTTGATGTAGCTATTATTTCATTTTACCTGGAAACTCTGCAGTGTCTCCTCTTTTTGGCGTATCCTACAATATTTTGCTTGACTACACAAAAGAGAGTTAGAGCGAAAGGGGTAAAACAATAATGCCTTCCGTGTATACACGTAATATGTGTATGTCCATCCTCAGTTCTTTCAATTTTATTATGATTATATTCTAAATGAAGAAAGGTAACGTTAGGCTTGAAATTTTGATGTTAGCTAATATATTTCATACTCTGAAAATCTCTAGGTAGTCTCCTCTTTTTGGCGTATCTCAATATTTTTGTTGACTAACAAAAAGAGAGGTAGAGCAAAGGTGAAACAATAATGCCCTTCGTGTATACACGTAATATGTGTATTGTCCATCCTCAGGTTTTACATTATATTATTGATTATACATTCTAATAGAAGAAAGTAAGGTTAGGCTTGAAATTTTGATGTAGGCTATATTTTCTATACCCTGGGATCTCCCAGTGCTCCTCTTTTTTGGCGTATCTCCAATATTTTTGTTGACTAACACAAAAGAGAGTAGAGCAAAGGTGAAACCATAATGCCTTCGGTGTATACACGTATATGTGTATTGTCCCATCCCTCAGGTTTCAATACTCTATTATTGATTATCATTTCTAATGAAGAAGGTAGGTAGGCTGAAATTTTGATGTAGCTAATATTATTTCATACCTGGAAACTCTGCAGTGTCTCTTCTATTTGTGCGTATCTTCAATATTTTTGTTGACTACACAAAAGAGAGGTAGAGCAGAAGGTGAAACAATATGCCTTCGTGTTATACACGTAATATGTGTATTGTCCATCCTCAGGTTTCATACAATCTATTTATTGATTTACATTCTAAATGAGAAAGTTAAGGTAGGCTTGAAATTTTGATGTAGCTAATATATTTTCATACCCTGGAAACTCGCAGTGTCTCTCTTTCTTGGCGTATCTTCAATATTTTTGTTGATACACAAAGAGAGGGTAGAGCAAAGGTGAAACAATAATGCCTTGTGTATACACGAATTGTGTATTGTCCCATCCTCAGTTTCATACAATATATTATTGATTATACATTCTAAATGAAGAAGAAGGTTTGCTTGAAATTTTGATGTAGCTAATATTATTTCATACTCTGGAAACTCTGACAGTGTCTCCTCTTTTTGGCGTATCCTCCAATATTTTTGTTGACTACACAAAAGAGAGTAGAGCAAAAAGGGAGTGAACAATAATGCCTTCGGTGTATACACGTAATATGTATTGTCTCCATCCTCAGGTTTCATACAATCTATTATTGATTATACTTTCTAAAGGAAGAAATGTAAGTTAGGTTGACAATTTGATGTAGCAATATTATTTCATACCGCTGGAAACTCGCAGTGTCTCCTCTTTTTGGCGTATCTCAAAATTTTTGTTGACTACACAAAAGAGAGGTAGAGCAAAGGTGAAACAATAATGCCTTCGGTGTAACAGTATATGTGTATTGTCCCATCCTCAGGTTTCATACAATCTAATTATTGATTATACATTTCTAAATGAAGAAAGGTAAGGTAGGCTTGAAATTTTGATGTAGCTAATATTATTTCATACCCTGGAAACTGACAGTGTCTCCATCTTTCTTGGCGTAATCTCCAATATTTTTGTTGATTTACAACAAAAGAGGTAGAGCAAGGTGAAACAAAATGCCTTCGGTTCGTTATAATATGTGTATGTCCTTCCTCAGGTTTCATACATATATTATGATTTACTCTCATGAAGAAAGTAAGGTTAGGCTTGAAATTTTTGATGTAGCGTAATATTATTTCATACTCTGGAAACTCTGCAGTGTCTCCTCTTTTTTGGCGTATCTCCATATTTTTGTTGACTACACAAAAGAGAGGTAGAGCAAAGGTGAAACAATAATGCCTGTTCCGGTGTATACACGTAATATGTGTATTGTCGATCCTCAGGTGTTTCATACAATCTAATTATTGATGTATATTTTCTAAATGAGAAAATGTAAGGTTACGTTTGACATTTGATGTAGCTATTATTTCATACCCTGGAAAATCGCAGGTATCTCTTTTGGGCGGTATCTGTCATTTTTGTTGACTAACACAAAGAGGTAGGCCAAAGTGAAACAATAATGCCTTCGGTGTATACACTAATGGTATTGTCCCATCCTCAGGTTTCATACAATCTATTATGATTAATACTTCTAAATGAAAGAAAGGTTAGGTTAGGCTTGAAATTTTGATGTAGCTATATTATTTTCATTACCCTGGAACTCTGCAGTCGTCGTCCTTATTTTTGGCGTATCTGCAATATTTTTGTGACTACACAAGAGAGGGTTGAGCGAAGGTGAACATATCCTTCGGTGTTATAATTGTTGTTATACCCCATCTCGACGGTCTCAGTCTATTAGTGATATACTTTCTAAATGAAGAAATGTAAGGTTAAGTTTGACAATTTGATGTAGCTATTATTTCATACCCTAGAAGCGCAGCATTGACTCCTCTTTTTTGTGTATCTCCAATATTTATTGTAGACTACACGAAAGAGAGGTAGATCAATGGTGAAACAAATAGCCTTCGCTATATACATGTAGTATGTGTGATGTCCAACTCTCAGGTTTATATACAATATTTTATTGATTTTACTTTATATAAATAGTTTTGGTTACAATTTTGATACAGTTAATCATTTTTCCCTAGCCTTAGAAACATTGCAATGTGTCCTCCTGCTGCAATGTCTCCAGTAATTCTGTGGTCACAAGGCAAAAGTTCTTAGTGAATATTAGTTTGGAGAAATTATGGGTTAGATTCAGTTGCCTATATTTCCGAACATGTGTTTTTTTTTACCGTCTATGCGGTTTCATTTTGCTTATTTTATTACAATAAAATATAGATAATTAACTTGTAGTTTCAGTACGTAACTCGCCTTTGTTTTTTAACCTTTTACCTAAAATTGACTTTTACCCCGTGATAACACAATTATCATACACTACCTCTGAGGAAGAAACAGCAAATGTGGAAACTACATGTCTTCGATGTATACAGATATGTATTGTCGTATTCTCAAGTATCATTTAAAAAAAAAAGAATTTCCTTTTTATATGAAGTGTAGGTTAGGGTTGAAATTTTGGCGGGTATTTCTCCGTTAATTATTGTAGACTAAATGCAAGGGTGGTACAGAAATTGTGGAAATTCATGCTGTCGGTATACATGTAATGTGTAATGTTCTACACGGAAATTCATCTTACCCTGAATGTCTCCAGTAAGTATTGAATACTAAACTTGGAGGTTCAGTAATTGGGGAAACTACGAGCCTTCGATGAATACATGTAATATGGATTGTCAAATCCCCAGGTTTCATACTAAATTGCAGAAACTCTGTATGAAGAAAGTAGTTTGGTTATTATATAGCCATAGATGCCATGCAATGTACTCTTTGCATATCAGTTGTAAATATTGACTACACTTGCTGGTTTTCCCGCAGTTGTGATGACATGACATTGGTGTGTGCATGTAATATCCCATCCCCAGGTTGCATGAACATATTGATTTTACTTTAGGTGAAGGAATGTAGGTTGGTCTTAAAATTTTGATGTGGGGGAGTAACTCTGGTTTGTGTATTTTATACCTCAAGAAGCATTGCCAAGTCTTTCTCTTTTGGTTTTTCTCTGTTAAATAAGATAGACTACATGAGGAAGGTACTTGTGAACTCTTTAAGTTTCCAGCTTTATGTCTGTTACATTGAGGCTTTTAGTTATCTCACTTAATAACTCATTTCTTGGGTTTGCAGCTATGTTATGTTGAAGTTTTCATTGTGAATGAAGCCTAAGGGTGAAGTTTGTACCTTGATCATAATGTACCTAGGATCACCCTTCAGTGTCTTGAAAGGTGTTGCTATCTAACAGTTACCACAGTAATACAAATTTTACTCTAAAGAGTAAGAAAGTGGGAGATGTGTTGTGTACATGTTACGGTTTTCAAGTAAAAAACCTTCAATGATTAAATTTTGAGTAAAATTACACTAAATACATATTATCTATCTTATAGGTACGGGAAGTTCTGATCCAAGGTACACAAAATGGTCAGTGGTAAATTAAGGTCTTGTTCTGTTGATCACATATCAATAAAATAGTTCTGATATTTATACTTCTGAGTTTTTTTCTTACTTCCCTGTTCACAAATGGAACAGGAGATTTTTGTTACCAGCTTCTCATCTTGTGTTCATCACCCCTAATAACGATAAAACAATTTTAAAAAATACCCTGTCAATGTTTACTTAGTATTAAACATATTGGCACTTTAAGCTCATGAGCTGGGAGAGGGTGATAATTGACGGTTTCAGTACCAAATTGAGAGGATCAAGAAGCACCTGATAGGACAACTGACCACATCCATTCTTCTCGTGACATTGAAGTGCCACATTAAGATGTGTATAAGTACAAGTCCGGAAGCTGGTCACTTTTTATTCTCCATGAAAGTGGCAAGACATTGGTGTTCTGTTTGTGTGGGGGTGGGGGTTGTAGAGTAATTAGGAAAACATCAGTTTCATACATGTCAGTTGTAGAAAACTTATCAGTGATGGTGCTCATTATTACTGGTATATAAATATTGATGATAATTTAAAACAAAATGAGAACTGGTGTTGGTATTCTTTTCAGATCTATACAAGAAATTGAAGAATATAGAAGTTCAAAAGAAATAACCTTGAAAGGGAAAAATATTCCTCATCCTATTCGTACATTTGAAGAAGCAGGTTTTCCTGATTATGTCCTTAAGGAAATAAGGTTTGTATAGAAATGGGTTTTTATCTTTGTCTTGGGTTTTGTATTTAGATTGCATTTTATTTAGATATTTTATTTTGATATTTAGTAGTTTTGCATTAAGATGATCTTTTCTTTAGGAAACAAGGATTCAAAGAACCTACTGCAATTCAAGCCCAAGGATGGCCAATAGCTTTGAGTGGCAGGGATATGGTTGGTATAGCTCAAACTGGATCAGGAAAAACATTATCTGTAAGTTGAGCATTGGTAGTTAAACTTGTAGTTTGTATTTGAATATTTGAGAGAGATTTGCTGCTGCTTTTTTTTATGACAATTTATCTGAATTGCTGTTTTGGTTCTAGTATATTCTTCCTGCAATTGTCCATATTAACAACCAGCCAAGACTACAGCGTGGTGATGGCCCTATAGCATTGGTATTAGCCCCTACCAGAGAACTGGCACAACAGATTCAACAAGTAGCCAATGATTTTGGTTCATCATCACAGATAAGAAATACATGTGTGTTTGGAGGTGCTCCGAAGGGTCCACAGGTATAATTATATTTTTTGTGCATGTTCTTTGATAATTTTGTACTAAATATTGTAATATTACAAGGTTTTGTTTTTAGGCTCGTGATCTTGAAAGGGGTGTAGAAATAGTGATTGCCACTCCAGGTCGATTAATAGATTTTTTGGAAAGTGGTAAAACCAATCTGAAAAGATGTACATATTTGGTTTTGGATGAGGCAGACAGGATGTTGGACATGGGATTTGAACCTCAAATTAGGAAGATAGTGGAGCAAATTCGGGTAAGTGTTTTCCGTGAGCCATATATTAATCTCCAAAGGGGAGAAGAAAGTTCTAATTGGATGTGTGTTTGCAGCCTGACAGACAAACTCTAATGTGGTCTGCGACATGGCCTAAAGAAGTAAGAAATTTAGCTGAAGAATTTTTGAAGGAATATACACAGATCAATGTGGGATCATTACAGCTTTCTGCCAATCACAATATTTTGCAAATAATAGATGTTTGTCAAGAATACGAGAAAGAACAAAAGTAAGATGCTACGCCATTGGTAATTCAGCATGTTACTATTTCTTTAGGTTGTTTTTAAATTTCATTTTTCAATGTTTTAGGCTAAGTACTCTCCTAAAAGAGATCATGGCTGAAAAAGAGAACAAGAGCATTGTATTTATTGAGACAAAGCGCCGTGTTGATGAAATTACTCGAAAAATGAGGCGTGATGGGTAAGAAAAGATATTTTGACACTGATTTCATTAAGTGTTCCAGGAGGTAGTTACTAGTTCTTATTTTTCAGATGGCCTGCATCATGCATACATGGAGACAAATCGCAGCCTGAGAGAGATTGGGTTTTACAAGGTATGAGATGCTTTTATTACTTTTTAAAAAATATTTGTGCTTCATATATATCAATTATATTTTCAATTTTATTGTTTTCAGAATTTAGATCAGGAAAATCTCCCATTCTTGTGGCCACAGATGTAGCTGCCAGGGGTTTAGGTAAGTGAATTTTTTTCTATAATCATACTTGAGAAGATCATGACATGCTGTGATCAATGAATCTTTGTGCTGGAATCATCAGAACTTATGGACATGGATTTTGAAAATTAATGTAAGATATTAAATGTGTTTCTTTAATATTTGTGTATTTCACATTATTTGGCACTTGAATTAATTGTGGTGTGTGAATGTTCAATACAGTTGCTGGCACATGTACTGTGGAAATATCACATTACCACCCCAAATAAGACTCTAAAAGTGCTTTCTCTTGAAATTAGTTGAATTGTAATTGCTTTGTCTAATACATCATTGTATGAACCAAATTTTTAGCTATACAGTTCAACTAATTTTGTATGAGTAGGCGCTTCTCACGTGTGAGAAATGTTTTGTGTATGTTTTATGTGCACTTACTCGATGGTGTTATCTGATGTCAAATCAATGTGAAGATTGGGCATGTTCGTTGAATGGGGAGGTTATTCCACAGTTGATGGGAGTGCAAGTTGAGACCTCAGTTTTGTTCTCTCCCAAAGGGAGAATGGTCATGTCAGAATTCTTCAATATTAACGAGGTCGGTTCTTTTCTTTCTCTTGCAGAGGCACAAGCGTGATAATGCAAAAGGTGGTTTGCATTGTCGTACAGGCTGTGCCTCTCTGCGATTGGTTACTCTCCGGGCCCCTCGCTAGGGCCAGGGAGAGGTAGTCTGGCTCTGTTACTCGTGCCACCCACCATTACTTCCGGGTTTCGGGGTGGCGGAGGCGGTGCGGGAGGAGAAGGGGGCACAAAGAAAGCCCCCTTCATCCCGCCGGCCTTCGGTCCTCCCGCCTGCCCGCCCCTGCCCGAATACACCCCGGGCTGTCAGCCCGGCTCGCCCAGCCACCCTCGCCGGGCTGCCCTGCCGGAGGGCCGAGCCCCATGCGTGCCGGCGCTGCCATGCCGGCGGGCGGAATCCGCACTGGCATGCCTGCGTCCAAGCTGGTCAGCCGCTGCCGAGCGGCTTGGCGCAGCCAGGGCTGGCCCGCCAGCCATCCCGCCTGGGCCGCCCTGCCGGTGGGCGGAGCCCGCGTAGCGAGCGTTGCGCAGCGGTCTGCCGTGCAGACAGGCCTGTTCGCCGGCCGTGTTCAGGCCGCAGTTCGATTGGCACTCTGATGAAGGCGATGAAGCATGTAGGGGCCCAAGTACAGGTGCATGCTCCGCACACCTTAGTTATCGCACTAGTGATCAGAGTTGCTGCTTGATAAGTTTTAGAATTTTAAAAAAATTAGTGATTTTGTTTGTGAGTCTTGAAACATTTTAGTAATCCAAAATATTTAAAGATTCTCTTCTGAAAGTTTTGTGATACGCTAGACAAGGTAACTGTTCAGAGGATTAGTGAAGAAATACAGGGATATTTTAAATGTACTAAAAAATTGAGTTGTGTCCTGTGAAATTGAATTACAATGTGACTTACAAGTAAAATCACTGTTAAATTTGAATTACATTTTTCTGAATTTACTTGTTGGTTGTGGCTTACCTTAAGTAGCAAGCAACTCTTCACTGATATGCACTTAATTTGCTCAGTGAAAAAATACAAAAAGTGCATTTTATCAACGTGTGGAGTGTGCATCTGTCTATTCTGCCCTTCAGTGCCTAACACGGTGTTAGTGGTGCGGCTTCAGGTAATAATTCATTAACACCTTGGGTTGCCTAGTACTTGTTTGCAATCTAACTTCTGGTGTCCAATTTCAGCAGGGGTTTTCCTTGTATATAACTTGTGTTCTGTTACAGGATTTTAAAATTAGGGATTTAAAATATTAGTTCATATTACAGATTCTAACCAATGCAATTGTGGGTGGTTTTCAGTCAATTCTCCATGTAACTAATCATTTATTTTTCTTACGGGTCTTTTTGTGGGATTATATATTTTATGAAGCCAAGTGTAACTTTGGCTCATGAAATGGAACTAGAGCATGGGTTGAAAACCACTTCCTGTTTAATTTTTGGTTGATTCTAATTTTCCTTCCAGTCCTGTTTCTATTCCTGTCAGGTTTCCTGGTATGCTGCCTTATTTCCCCTATGTAATTTGTATGCTTGCTGTTTACTCCTGTTAGAATCAGCCTTTAATTCTGTGCTTTACCTATTTTATTAAAATTATTTGTACTGTTACAGATGTGGAAGATGTGAAGTTTGTTATAAACTTTGACTACCCCTCGAGCTCGGAAGATTATGTTCATCGTATTGGTCGAACAGGCCGTTCACAAAGGACAGGCACTGCATACACTTTCTTCACTCCTAATAATGCTAGGCAGGCACCTGATCTTGTTGCTGTTCTAAGAGAAGCTAATCAAGTTATCAACCCCAAATTGTATGAAATGGCAGAAATGTCAAAAAGTATGGGTGGCAGAGGTTTGTACATTTGAAGAATGTAGCATAAGAATGATAGAATTGATCACTCTGGTTCTATTCAAAGGAATTATGGCACAATTGGGAAACAAAAATTAACAGATAATGCATTAGTTTGAAACCGAAGTGTTAAAAACATAAATGTTAACAGCGAAGAAAATGAAAAGGTTGTGTAGGTTTGTAATGGACATTCTTATGGACTACTTTCTTGTAGCATATAATGCGTTGGTCATTCCTTATTTAGTGTTAATGGAATTTCATTTATCTATTTAGCTTAACCATTTCTTTTTTGCATTCTGGAAATGAAAATCTTAGTTTTGCTGTGATTTTTCTTTTTTTTTTTTTTTCCCTCCTTCCTTGTTTGGAATTCCATACATTCAGATTGATAGTTCCTCTATGAGAAATAAATAATTACTGTGATATAGTTGACCAGAAAATGACATTTGATGATATGAAGGAAAATTGATGTTCTGTTGCATTTGTCATTGCCTGCCTCTATTGACCTCTCCTTGACCCTCCTTTCCTTTACTATGACTTTTTTACTGCGTAAGGAAAGTATGATTTTGTGATCCAGATTAATAAATTTTATGATCTTTGGTATCAAAACTTGGTGCTTACCTTCTTAACTTCTATTGGAAATAGTGTAGGGGTGCCTTAGGTGTTCCTTAATCCTTTGACTGCTCCAGGCATGTCTTGCGAGTCCTGTGGTGCGAGACATCCTTATTTGCTCAGGCACTGCACTGTGTGTTGCCCTCTGCTGACGCTGTGCTATACATTTGGTGATAGTTGGTCAGCTGCACTGCAGCATGAGAACCGATTATATAGCAAATGCAATGATAATTAGATACAAACATGCATGCCCATTACATGCGTACGCATATACAAGAACATGCACATGTGTGTACACATGCATACATGCGCACATACGTTACAACAGATACCTTCCCAACATCACGTAACATTTGAGAGGAAAGACCAAACAGGATTAAAAGGGTTCTAACATTTCGGTAGCACTCATATAATTCAGCACTACATTTGCCATATCAATGGAGCTTACTAAGTAGTGGTTGAGGAATTTGAAAAACTTGTTTTAGGCATCCTTGAATGGAAGACTCGAAAGATAAACATTAATGTTACATCATGTGCACAAGACTTGTGCACCATAATGGCATGAAAATACTTAGTATGCAGAACCACAAAAAGATTGCTATAATTCTGTAATAAATTCACCCTTTTGAAGGGCATTACAAGCAGCGGTTGCCTTGCACTTTGTCATGTCCAGCTGACCAGCGATGGCCTACTTCGATGTGCTGAAATGTCCAGAGGCTTTCATTTGTATTAGACAGGTTGTAAAATATAAAAAATAATATATCAATGTTTCACAAAATATTTCTCCTTGTGTAAACCTGAAGGAACACACTTCAGGCATTTTTTTGTTTTAAAATGCCCAGAGCAGTCAAAAGATTGAGTTACTGTATGCTTGCCCAAACATTGGGTTAGACATGTAAATGTTCAGATCTGAAGTGTTATATGAAGGCAATATAATCTTTGTCATAATAGATAAAAAGTGTATAGGTGAAGTAAAATACTTTTTTTTGTTGCAAGAAAAATATATTTTAGGATATCTATAATTTTGATCAATGAATTAACACGCTATAGATTACAAATGCCTAATGTTGTAGGTCGCAATAGATGGCGAGGAAGAGGTGGTGGTGGAAGATTCCGCGATCGTAGTCGCTCACGCACACGCAGTCGAACCAGAAGCAGGAGTCGCAGCAGAGGTCGAGACAGGAGTCGTAGTAGAAGTCGAGACCGCAACCGTCGTGATCGCACACGCAGCCGCAGCCCACGTGACAGGCGAGATGATCGATCAGGCAAGTTCGAGAGCCTACAGGACCAGCCGCCTCTGTTGCTCCAGCAGCAGCAGCAGGCAGCGACACAGCAGCAGGGTGCCATTGGTGGGCCACAGCTTCGGCAGGAGCCAGCTAATGATGGACTGCCGCCTCCTCACACTGCAGCTGTTCCTCAACCTCTCCTGTATTCTATTTCCCAACCTCAACACGAACCCCAGCTGCACTCTGTCAATGAGTATGCCTCTGCCTCTTCTCAGCCTGCTCTTCAAAGATCTAGCAATTATGCCCCACCTTCGCTTCTGTTGTCATCCAGTCAGATGACTGCCAGTGGCTATCCCCCTACTCTTCATTACTCTTCAAATTATTCCATTCCCCACAACCATTTGGGGAACGGCATCTCGTACCAGAGTGTGCAGTGCGAGGCTCCAAAGTCATTGCTGGCCAATGGCTATGGGTTTGCTCACGCGAATCATCGGTAAACAACAAGTTTATCAAGGTTTGTGTCAGTGAGGGAAAGGACATTATATATTCTGTTATATATAAATAGGGTGTCCTTGTGTAACCTCTGTACATAAATTACTAGCAGTAATGTAATTTAATTTTGCACTGTGTACACTGAAGGCAAAGCAATGAGGAGACCAAATTATTGATTAATTTGTGAAGGATTTATACGCTATTCTGAGCTTCGTCCATGGTTCCTTATAGTTAATAAATAAATGCTAGATCTGCCTTCTATATTCTATCTCCTGTTCCTATTTCATTTTGCTGTGATGTATTTATTGAAATAATGGTTTTCCCTGATGTCCCTTTGTGGAACTATTTGCAGTGATCTGCCTTCATCTTGTGGTACTGTTGCTTATTTGTTTTAGATGATTATGTGGTCGGGAATAGCTACTGGAGCTCAGCGGCTGGGGAGAGAAAGGTGTTGCCAAGAGCTAGTGATGTGTGAATTAGCAAAAGTGGCATCTGCATAAAATATTGTCAAGAAAGCATATTAAATTAGTGAGAATTGTTGGACTTGGGTATCAAGGCACTTTTTTTAATTATATTAATTTTCGCAAGATGGACAATGAACACTGCAGATTTGTTCAACATGTTCATCCTTTTCTATTCAAATTTCCTCCCCGTTTTCCATGTGCAGAGAGGAGGTGGCTTTCCTGCTGCTGTGTAATATATTAAATGTAAATTATATATTGTAAATCAGAATAAATATTGTTCCTGTTATTTCATAATGCGCTCTGCTTCAGTCACTTACTTCCACAATATTCAATTCTGTTTTAGCTTGAGGCAACATCACCTAAACACTATTCTGGTGTTATGGTTCTGCTATTCCCTCCATGTAAATCTACGGCTTGCTATTGCTGGTTGATGGAAGAAGATTGGGTGGGAAGGGCAGACATATTTTTAGTGATCTCTAAAATTTGCAATCTGCACATAAAGTGCATTTGCAACAATTCAGGACCTGGGTATATTTTGGCAGAGAAATTCTGAAAAAGTTACCTTTCATTTGTCATTTAGAATTTTAAATGAGCAGATCACAAAATTTTAAATCTGATATGAGCACTTGTAGATTGTGTATCTATTAAAATGTGAATCTTTTGTAAATTTTTTTAATTGTAGAATTTAGTTATTCTGTGTACTTCTAGATGTATCTGTATTTTCTATGTGGAAATAAATATTTAAGACCTACAATGACTTTGATTTAACACCCTACATATGTCCCAAGAAAAGAGAAAGCTGCAAGGCAAAACGTTGAACTGTTAGGGAGAGGGGGGAATCAAATCAATCTAAATACGTGAAGCGCGAGTGGGTGGTAAAACTTCAAACATGTATCTAAACCCTTCCCTATTGATTTTTGGAGAAAGAAGGGCTCGAACCCGAACTTCAAGGCCAGAAGAAGGGTATTGAGAGTCCTCTATCGGTTGCAATGAAACTAAATTCCTGCTCTCTGATTGGTCGGAGCTGTGCAGTGGAAATGGGGTGAAGTAGAAATGGACTGTTCCAGCTCCGACCCTGGTTCGCCTGCTGTTCTGTCACATCGGCAGCCATTGCAGTTTCGCTCGCCGGTCGTAAAGGTACGCAGTTTGGCTTGTTCGAATTTGTAAAATATCGGATGCGGAAATGCTGATATTTGCTTTCAGATATTATTTTTTACTGTGAAATATTTAAAAACTGTGGAAGATCTGTGAATAGCCGACTTTCTTTTGTTACAGAATTGTTAAGAAACTTGCTGATAATTGGTTGCAGTTAATATCTTTGCTGTATTATGTACAGCAACGGGTTTTCGAGTCAAACCATGTAAGTCGCTTTTGTTTAATTGATGCACATGTATAAGCCCCACCTTCCAAGTTTCGTAAATGCGTTTGTATTGTTCGACCTTAATTCTGCCATTTTGAGTTCTCTGCGATCGTAGTGTTAATGCACAGTGACATCGCATACTTGTCACTCGACAGCATGTTTAGACGCAGGAACCAGTTTAATTTAGTTTATTGCTTTTGTAAATCGTAGTTGAAAATTCAGAATCGATCTTTTTCAGGTACAAGGGGGAACGTGACAATTTTAGTAAAACTCGCACATGGAGTAAAAATATGCCTAGTAGTCCAAATGAGGCAAATGGATTTAAAAAATCTGTTAATAAAAACAAACAACCCGGAGAAAAATTAAAAAAACCTGAGTGGAATAATTTACAACCTTTTATGAAGAACTTCTATGTTCCTCATACCAATGTTATTGGCAGGTAGGGTTTAGAAAAACCCCTTATTGCATGTATGTGTAGGATATCATTGCACTGCATTGTAATGGTTGTTTCATTTGTACCATTTTTTTGACTTATTTTGCCTTTGCTTCATCCTGTTATTTGCTTGATAGGTATGAGGACTTGCAAAGTTTTTGCAATTAATACATTAGTCTATTGGCTTGAAATTTAGTAGATAGAAACAAGATGGGCTTGTTTTAGCTGGAAGTACAAGCAATCTGCTAGTTTTTAAACTGACGTGAGAAGAAGGGAATGTGCTTTTTATGGACTCTGAATGGTTTCTTTGCCATTGTGCCATTAGGGTGTGAATTACAAAATATTTTTTCTCCGCTTCTAAGACTTGATAAATATTTAGAAACTTCATAACTTAGTACAGTCAATTGATCTTGTAGGTACTTTTAGTTTGGAAAAGGAATATGATTGGGAATTAGGCCTAATTATACTTATTCCAACATTCATAATGTGAATAGAAACTATCTTAGTTTTAGGTAGGCGAGGAATAAGGGAATGTTTTTTTTAATCTTTGATAAAAAATTGAAGGCAGGAATGGCAGGACAAATAATAGTATGGACATAAAATTAAAGTAAAATAAAGTAAAGAAAATAAACAATATGCACAAACAAATAGTAGTTGAGTTGTATTTAATCTTATAAGATTTAAATGATTTAAATAAATTTTCTTATGGATAGTATACTCAAAACAAGAAGACCTTCACAATTTTTTGTTGCCATGTACAATGTAATGATCATGACCAGGGGATTGGTTTTAATGAAATGCTCTTTTTTTTCCTTTCCACTTTGGAATAGAAATTGATTTTGTTTTGACAAAACGAAATTACCCATTTTGTGCATTTTTCGTCTATTTCTAGTCTGACTTATGTCACTTTTTAAAGCATTTTTCACTGCTGTCTTCTATTCTAATTATTTTAATGGTACTTGCTTCAAACATTGTTTATGAGGTGCATCAGATGTTCACAACAGAATTCCAGAGTAGCCTATTTGATTTCTTCACATATGTATTGTAATGTCAGCTGTTGTGTGTACTACGTAATCAAAGGTTCCTGTGAAGTTTATTAGTGCCATGTTACTTGATTTCGCGATTAATAAGAGACAGATTTTCTTTTAGAGAATGGTCCAAACCCGAAGTTTGCGGGCGGAGTTCACTTGAATGAAAGGAAGAAGCCTCAATTATGTTAGTAACATATCCAACACCTTGAGTTGTTCATCTGAAGTGGTTTTGTTCAAAATTTTTTTTACATCCTTTTACTGTTTTTAGGGCTTATTCGACTTAGGGCATTTTATTGATCATTTTTGGCAATGTTTTAGGTTGTCAAAATAAATCATTACTAAGTTGGAATCAAATCTCCTTTGGTTTCTTAGGGTCTTACGAATGTTGATGTTGTGGTGTACAAATATGGTTTGTGTTGTGAAGGTCTCTTGTAAAATCAGATAGTTCATATACTGAATCAGTGCAGATATAAATACAACAGTTTAATCCTGTTCTGAAGCAATTGAGTAGTTATTTGTTGAAAAAGTCTTGTAAGATTTCTTTTCAAGTTGATTTTTGAATCCAGCTTCAAATTTTATAATAAAAGTGCCCAATAATACTCATGTCCTGGGAAAGAGAAAGATGCTAATGGTTGTACTTCTCATATTGACTGATACAGATTCCTTCAAATTGCAAAGAATTTCAAGTTGTGGATGAAATTAATGCCTTAGCAAATAAAGTTTGATGACTATTGGGCGGTAAAAATCTGTAAAATGTGTACATATATACGTATAATGCAGAAATTTGTATTTCAAAGTGACCTTGTGTAACAATGGAATATCTGACCTGCAACTGGAATTATAATATTGGCATATAATCTTGTAAAGTTACACAAGCATGTGAAGACAAATACCTGCTGCAACAGCCACTTTGATTCAAAGGTCACCTCGATTAATAGCTGTTACAATTAGTGGTCACCTAGTCTCACGGCCAGCTGCCAGGCACATTTTATATGTAGACCTCCATTAAATGGGTGGTTAATTCTTGTGGTTTTGAACTGTTGAGCAAGAAGCAGAGAGCTGTAGGGATACAATAGGTACAATATCTTTTTATAATGTGACAGTGTCAGATTACTTAGAATATTGGCATCTAGGGCCACTAAATCTGCAGGGGAATAAAATTGTTTCAGATAACAAAGATTATTTTTGTATGTTTCTATGACATGGCAATACATTTGTGTTGTCCATTGTGCAACACTCTTGAAGTTAGTTCACTTTTGCTTCCTCTGGGTGTCAATGACATGCTCAGTTTATTTCATATGAGCTGGAAGAGGGCCAGAGAATCTGGATAACAAGAAAGGGTTTTTGTGATTTTTGGTGGAGTTTTGAGTGTGAAAGCACAAAAAATAAGGTAAATAATCATTTGTGAAACATTTTCAAGAGACAATCTATTACAATGTGAAGAGTTGCAAATTCTCGGAAATAAAACTATCCTTGAAACATTACCATGGTATTTGTATCTAACTAAATAACTTCAAAGGATAAGTAAATGCGAATTTTTGCCTTCAAGTTCTTTTATAGTGTGTCCCAAATGTAATATTTTTCTCACCTGAGCTTTGTAGTTAATAAAGACATGTTTATTTTAAAGAAATGTCTGTTTGAAAGACAGGAGAAACGTGTCTCTAAAGATTTCTAGGCAGTGCTCATGCACAAAACCCTTGCTATGTGTAGACAATATCAAATTTCAGTTTCCCATTATTGAAGATTTGCCTGGCTTTTATGCTTAAGGTTGCGGCATGTTGAGTCTTACAAATATAAAACTTGGGGGCATCCTACATTTTTTTGGTGGAGATACACTTTGTTAAAGACTTGTGTAAGGATTGCAAGTGATAAAATGAAGTATAAAAATGATTAAATATGTGCATATGAAAAGGTGGCAAGTAAAACTCATCATATGAACTATAAAATCCATTTTTAAGTGTTATTTGGCATGAATGTTCAGCTCTGTTCTGTATATTTGACAGAAAAACCTAGTCATAATTTAGGGTCCTGAATAATATTAGGTGCAAAGTGGAAATAAGTTCGATGATTAAAGTAATTGAAAAAGAACCTTAGATAATCATTGCATTTTTTTTTCTGAATTACACTGGTTGAAAGATGGCTAAGATCTGATTTTTCAGTTTGCCTTACTCTCCTAACAAGCAAGTCTTTTGGCCAACACACAATTTGGAGTAAGAATTGATAGCTTCACTTTTCTGAAATCGCTTTTGAATCATTAAGTGTGTGTCTATTTGAGTTTAAATTTGATTTAAAATTGAATTAGTGATCCATGGTGTTGAGTAATGTAATTGATGGTAATTTGTGAAGGGATTGTAAGTCGATTAAAGTGCAAGCAAATCAAAAGCATTTCTAGTGCTGTTGGAATACAGGTCCACAATATTTTTTTACAAAATTATCAGTTTATTGAAATATAATATATTAATTCATTATGAATCTGTAAATGTAATAGCGTTTTTTGTTTTAACTTTTTTCTCTTTCTTTTTCTTTCTTTCTCTTTCTTTCTGGAGAGAAGAGAAAGAGAGAGAGAAGAGAAAGAAGAGAGAGAAGAGAGAAGAAAGAGAGAGAGAGAAGAAAGAGGAAGAGAAGCAAAGAAAAGAGAGAGAGAGAAAGAAAGAGGAGAGAGAAGAAAGAGAGAGAGAGAGAAAGAAAGAGTAGAGAAGAAGAGAGAGAGCCTGAGAGAAAGAAAGG